AGACTGCTTTTTTTTTTTTTTAATATTGCAAGTTGTCACAGATCAAAAAGGTTAAATTGTTGTGTAGTCATATTTCATGATAAAAAGACTAACTCATGGAATGGAAATTAAAAGCAGACTTCAGAAGTGAAAATTGCAGCCGCAGAAAACACCTGAAATACTTGGCAGTGATCAAACCTACCACTTGCACACAGTGCAAATAAAACACATGCTACAAGGTCCTACAACAAAAAGGCAACAACGTACTTCCTCATTTAAGTTATGGCACTGGGACAATCTCCATCAGTGCATAATATTGACCATTGTGTTAAAAACCTTTCACTTATTTCTATTTACAATTTAAAGAGAAGGTCTTAAAAATGAGCATAATACAAAATAGTTAGTTTTTGTCTGCTTTCCTAGACTTCTTGGATAACTTTAGTATTGCCGTTATTCTAGCATACAGTTACAAGTAACTTACTGGTTCTGAAGAACACTTGCACTTCAGAAACAAACACAACCCCTGTCCTTTATGGTGTTTTAGTTTTTTTTTCCCATGTCTGCACGATTATACTCTTCTCTTCACAGAGACGTTTGTTTTGTATCTTGGCCACTGTGTTGCATAAGAGGTTTCTTTTGATACTTCCTTAACACACTGACGACTCTCTCCCCTTCTCCTGGGCTCCACTCTGTTTTCCATGCTCTGGGTTGTTAAGACTGTTTGAGCTAATAATCTGGTAAACTAGCTCTTCCACTGTAATATAAATACCCTGTGATTTCTATTTTTTTTGCACTACTGCTGTGAAACTATGGTGTAGGATTGGTTCATTTTTACATTTCTGTATAAACTATGGCATACATTAATGTTCTATAGTACGGAACTAAGGCCAATACCATCAACTGAATCCCCTAGTACTCTTGTAAAAGGTGTGTAACATTTGATGTACCTTTAAAACCATTCACTGGAGATTTTCACCCCCTCAACTCAGCCATTACTTCTTCAGGCTGCAAACGTTTGCTGCAGCACAAGTCTGAAAACAACTTGTTTTGTTTGATCCCTTGTGATCAAACAAAATGATCCCTTACTTTTGAACTCTGCAATATAAGTCAATTACAAATGGGCTGTGGACATATTCTTGTGATTACATTTGTGTATGGCTTTTCAGTCTTAAAAGTCCTTTGAGGTCAAGTGAGGGCAAAGCAAGGTAGTAAAATTCTTTGTTTGAATACTTGTTTTAATACATTTTTACACTTTGTTAGTATAGAAAGCTAATGCAATGTCCAAAACATACCAAAGAAAACTACCAAAAGACTGACTATTTGATTTTCCTAAATACAAGCAGGAAGAATATGCTTTCTAGCCTTCTACCCTGGGAATGTAGCTCACATAGTATCTTTAAAGCCATCTATCCAACATGAACTCTTGTCTTTCTTTGTAAAGTAATATGTAACAAACCATAGGAAATTACGTGTTACAATTCTAGGGAGTAAAAGCCAGAAGTTAAGTGCAATATATGCAATCTAACTTAAACCTGGTTCTCTTGGAAGATATAATTGTCCACCTGTGAAACTATAATTTTCTCACTACAGTCACTTATGTCAGAAAATAAGGACTATCTATCCCTGGTGAGAACTAAGAAACTAAACTTGACTGGGAAGGTGATGCTGTTGTCATTCACATCTCACTTCCTGAAGGAAATGGAAACAAACAATATGCAGAATAGACAGAAATTTACTGCATTTCTGATAGAGGCCTTGACAGTATGAAGAATATCCCAGTTGTGAATACACATGTACCTAAAGAACATAGTGTTTAGCCTGACAATGCAGGAGAAATATTACAATCTTCTTTCAGGTTCTGTCATCAGAAAAAAATATTTCCCTAGTGCATTAGACTTAGGTTTACCTTTATGATGTTGTTTTGAAGCTTTGTAATTTATAAAGCATAAAAATATTTTTACAGTAAATCAAGGAAAATTTCAATATAGTCAAGAAAAATAGCCATAAAGTATAAAATGAGCCTGAGCTTTCACATGTGGTAATATAACAATTACAAATCTTAATTTAAAAAAAAAAAGTATTCCCTACTTTTTACCTTGTTCTGTAGTTTTAGCTGAACAATGTCATGATAATAAAGCCTTTATTTTAATACGAATATCTGAGGTGCTTTAGGTTAAATTTAATTTTGGGAATGTCCAGAAAAAGTATTAAATTAATTTTCCTAAGTTTTTCCCTAGTTCTGCTATTCTGTCAAACAGCTGATGCAAAATCTGTTGAACATAAAGAGATTTTGTTTCCCTTGGTTACAATGCTTCCATGAGATCATTGATATCTCTCTAACTCATTTTCAGTCACGATATATATGCTCTACTTGTTTTGCTTCAGTGGCCTCCTGTATCACAGTCACTGAAAGATGAAAACAAAATAGAGAAAACTATTTTGATTTTTCTTGTGCTAGGCAGATTGGAAAGCAAATTGGTCTTTGCTTTTTAGGCGGAAACAAATCATGTGCTTAACATAACTTTGAAAGTTCCCTGGGAAGTTGCACACTTTTGTGTAATATCTGGTTCTTGTCTATACAAACACAAATGTGCTTTAACTAGGTTGGAAGCTATCCTGTTACAGATAACCTTCCTCTGCTATTGTGTATACCTTATATCATATACAGATTGTAAATTCTTTGAGGCACAGAGTGATCAACACTTTATCTGTAAAGTCCTTTAGACCTTCTCTGTGAGGGATTCCTTCTTTTTTGATATAGTTTTCAACTATGACTGCAAGATTTGCCTGACTTTTTAAAGTCTAGGAATTTATATCTATTTCTTTTTTATTTTTTAAGAAGTGAAATTTATGCCTTAAAACTCACAGCCCTGTTTAAAGACCCATAGCTTTTAATTAAAATATACCTTCACATATTCATTTTCATGTACAAGTGATCTTATTGACGTATGTCATTGGCACAACTCAGCTACGTTTAGTTAAGGTCAGATGTCCACAGACTTGGAGTCTTGTGAAATGGATTTTGCTTCCCTCTGAGTCATCATATTGAATGACAGAAAGGCCCAGAAGGGACCTCAAGAGATCTTCCAGTCATTTACTGCCCCAGGGGCTTCAAGTCTTAGTTGCTTTTCTGTAAATATCTCGATGTACATTTGTTCCCCTTGTCATGTTTTATGTCTCATTCCATTTTTCCTACATGTATAGCTTGCAGGTTATCTGCTAAAACCCTTCTTAATTAGGCAGTAAAGAATGCCTGCAGCAAATGTACAGTGTTACCTACAGAACAGATAGGTATAGATGTGACAAAGGGGGAATGGTTATGGCTCCAGGATTATGTGAACATGGGAGATTTCTCACGACTTGTTTTCAGCTAGTAGTACTTTTAGAAGTGTGTGGGTTATTTTAAGAATAGGATTAAAGATGTGGTATTTACAGACAGAATAGCTCAGTAATATTTCCTACATAACCCAACAAAAAGTTGGAAACCTTTGAGATAGATGGTTATCTCAGTAGACCTGCTTCACAGGAGGTATTTTTCACAGATCATACCTTCAATTTTAATGACCATTCTGAACTCTAATACTTCTACTCAGGGCCTGCAGCCTTAACGAGTTTGGGGTAACTGGTTAATTTAGTATGTTCTCTATTCCATCATTGTAGATGTTAATGAAAATACTGAATACTACTGAATATTGAAAATTTTGCACAGGACCACTCTTGAACGAGCTCCATAGCCATTAATAACTACTTCTTCATGGGCTTCTCATTTATTTTTACACATATTTTACAAGTGTTTGTTCTCCCCTGAACAGTCTCATTTTCACAAATGAGATAAACCACTGATTCCACCAGTAACTTAAAGGAAACCCATCCATTTCCAGCAGAATCTTGCAATATTTGGTTGAAGAAGTTTTATTATTGTTTTTATTAGTATTTCTGTTGTCCTGATTTCAGCTGGGATAGACTTAGTTTTCTTCACAGAAGCTGGTATAAGGCTATGTTTTGTACTTGGGGTGGAAAAATGCTGATAATGTACTGCTGTTTTCAATTGTTGCTAAGCAGTCAAGGACTGTCCAGCTTCTCATGCTGGCCTGCCAGCGAGAAGGCGGAGGTGCACGCGAAGTTGGGAGAGGGCACAGCCCGGACGGCTGACCCAGGCTGGCCCATGGGATATTCCCTACCATATACCATCATGCTCAGTATATAAAGCTGGAGGAAGAAGAAGGAAGTGGGGGCACATTTGGAGTTATGGCATTTTGTCTTCCCAAGTAACTGTTACACGTGATGCAGCCCTGCTTCCCTGGAGATGGCTGAGCACCTGCCTGCCCATGGGGAGTGGTGAATGGATTCCTTGTCTTGCTTTGCTTGTGTGCACGGTTTTTGCTTTACCTATTAAACTGCCTTTATCTCAATCCATGAGTTTTCCCACTTTCACCCTTCTGATTCTCCCTCCCATCCCACTACGGGGGAGCGAGCGAGTGGCTGCGTGATGCTTAGTTGCTGGCTGGGGTTAAACCACAACACCTGTACATGGACAATGTTTTGGATCAGTAAGCCACGTAAAAGACACAGTTCAGGAAGAGGTCAGTAGTTGAACATGAGTCATCAGTGTAAGAAAAACTCCAGCTATGGATTTAGCAGGCTGACAGGCAGAGAGAGGGTAAATGAAACTGTAGGAAGTTTTGCAGGTGATCACTACTGAATGAAGCATTCAGGTACAACTTATGTTGTACTGGCAGTTGCCAAAATAATATGGAAATTACCAGAATGTTAATATCTACTATTGTAAGTATTCTTTTGTCACATTCAGAAAGAAAATATGTCAAATAGTTCCATTCTAGTCTTGCTTGTCAATACAAAATAATTTGGAATTTTTAAGCTAAAACTCCACCTTTTTATTACAATAAATGAACTGATAAGCAGTGAGATTAGGACTAGATACTAAGAGAAATACTTACTCAAAAAGATTCCTACTTGCATATATAGCATTGATTTCCATGAGGGTAAGAAAAGTGTTTTACCTTTGCAGAGGACAGGCTGATGACATGTTGATCTTTTTCATTTGTCACAATTTCCACAACACTATGTCGGTGTCCTGATAACTTCCCTGTAGGCCTACTGTTAATAGCAGGATGCCACAAACGAAGGAGTTTGTCATGACCTGAAAGAAAAAAAAAATATAGTAGAAAGACTGAATAGTCACTGGTATTACAAATAAGCTTCATAATCAAGAGCTTACTGTTGATACGTCTCTGCTTTCATCATATAGGCAACTCCCACATAAGGATGTGAATTTTTCATTCTAAGGGCTGGATTCCAGCTTACGTTTTCATTGCTTGTACCCAAACTTGTATTAAAAACACATAACTGATTCACCTTTCAAAGCCTTTTTATTTTGCTAGAGGAATGTCAGTGACACTGGGTGTGACTACATGTGTGTATTGGGTGTGCATGGCAAGGTTTTGGTAGCAGGGAGGCTGCAGGGGTGGTTTCTGTGAGAAGTTGCTAGAAGCTTCCCCTGTGTCCAATAGAGCCAATGCCAGCTGGCTCCAAGATAGACCCACCACTGGCCAAGGCCGAGCCCATCAGCAACAGTGGTAGCACCTCTGGGATAGCAATTTAAGAAAGGGAAAAAAATCTGCAACTGCAGCTGGAGAGAGGAGTGAGGATATGTGAGAGCAACAACCCTGCAGATACCCAGGTCAGAGCAGCAGGAGGGGCAGGAGGGGCTCCAGGCGCCGGAGCAGAGATTCCCCGGCAGCCCCAGATGAAGACCATGGTGAGGCCAGCTGTGCCCCTGCAGCCCATGGAGCTCCACGGTGGAGCAGATCTCCACCTGCAGCCGGGGGAGGACCTCGTGCTGGAGCAGGTGGCTGCACCTGAAGGAGGTTGTGACCCTGTGGGAAGCCCGTGCTGGAGCAACCTCCTGGCAGGACCTGTGGACCCATGGAGAGAGGAGCCCACGTTGGAGCAGGTTTGCTGGCAGGACTTGCGACCCCGTGGGGGACCCACGCTGGAGCAGTCTGTTCCTGAAGGACGGCACCCCGGGGAAGGCACCCAGGCTGAAGCAGTTTGTGAAGAACTGCAACCTGTGGGAAGGACTCATGTTGGAGAATTTCGTGGAGGACTGTCTCCCGTGGGACCCCACGCTGGAGTAGGGGAAGAGTGTGAGGAGTCCTCCCCTGGAGGAGGAAGGGAGTGGCAGAGACAACATGATGAACTGACCACAACCCCAATTCCCTGTCCCTCTGTGCTGCTCGGGGGGAGGAGGTAGAAAAATCAGGAGTGAAGTTGAGTCTGGGAGAAGAGAGAGGTGGGGGGAAGGTGTTTTAAGATTTGGTTTTATTTCTCATTCCCCTTCTCTGATTTGATTGGTAATAAATTAATTTTTCCCAAGTCGAGCCTGTTCTGCCTGTGATGGTAATTGGTGACTGATCTTTCCCTGTCCTTATCCCAACCCACGAGCCTTTTGTTATATTTTCTCTCCCCCATCCAGCTGAGGAGGGGAGTGATAGAGCAGCTTTGGTGGGTACCTGGCATCCAGCCAGAGCCAACCTACCACAATGTGCTGGTCCCATAGGAGCAGAATACTTCATTAGAAATAGAACTGGGGCTCATATTTTTTTTCCTTCAAACATCTAACTTAGAAAAAAGTCAAAACAATTTTTGTGTCCACTTAGCCCGGGAATGAAGGCATGGCCACCTCTATGGAAGAGTGTGGACATGCAGAACAGGAAGGCGAGCAGGCATGAAAACTAAGGGCAGAAACAATAACTGCTGGTGAATGTGTCTTGTGTCTTGAAGTAAATGAGAATTAGTTCTTTCATATTTATTTGTATGTTCAAACATTACATTTACCTACAATTTAGGGAATAATCCTTGATTCCATTATAGATTAATCTTTTGGTACTATTTTCATAATAGTTTCCATAAATATTTCAAAACACAAAGATATTAAAAATGTATCAGTAAACTCCTGGTTTTACATAATGATGTAAACACAACTGTACCTAGTGCACTGAAGTATTTCATATTTTTCACAGGAGTTTTATGAGAACATGAGCCCAGTTTAAATTTGACATTAATTAATTTATATTTTAACTTTCAATTCCTGGCAAATACTGCAATTGTATGAGTTGTGTGCAATAAGCTGAACACTCTATTTTGACACATTATAAATGAAACAGCCACATTTTATCTAGATTTCAGTTTGAGTTTTGGTTTTATCTCAGCTTAAGGTGAAGTGCAGAAAGCCAAAAAACATCAACTAGGAAGTACATGTCCCAGAAGAACATTCACCCAACTTCAAGACTACAACACTCAGCTCAGTTTTGTTAACAAAGAGAAGAGCTCTTGCAATCTGCTCTCCAGGGATCTTCCTTAAGCTTGTTCAACCTATTGTCAGTGGTTAGTTCCTCCCTCTCTCTCTCTCCCCCGAGAAATCTATTCCTTTCCTTCTTAACACAGCAATATGTGATTCATTTAGGAGCACCCCATCTCCCTTTTCCTCCATTAAAGATTATTGTCCTCTCAGTTAAATTAATTCCACTGTTTATGTAGCTTCTCTCTAAATGAGAGAGGCTCACTGGAGAAACTATCTACTCTTAAAATAGCTACAACAGAAAGTCATTTTGGTTTATGCCAGCTCATTTCACAAGTGTGACTGAGAATCCAACCATGCAAACAGCTGTATTGGCACAATGGAGGGATAACTTCTGCATAGGAAAGAGGAGCCATGGATAAGTAGCTGACCAGCAGTAACTTCAGTGGGAACCACTTTCTTTGCAGGGGAACTTTCAGGCAAAAACATTCTAGACTAGCTGTCTATGCTGTAAGCATGGCAGGAAGTAGGTTAAAAGGGCTATAATTGCACAACTGGTTTGTGAAGTCCTTTTAGATGGGCAAACTGCAAAACACGGTGGGTCCCTGCTTGCTTCCCTGGATGTTGTGTTAGGCCATCATAGACATGTTCTGCAGGTTAGCAGTGCCCTTGTGACTGGGCCAGTGTACATTACTGAGAAACAAGACCATGGGAGTAAAACTCAGCTTGCAGACCTTCCATGACATCAACAGGAGGACACAAAAATGGTAGATAGAAGCCTCCAGTGAGACTGGTGAGATCAGTTATAATGTTAAAGGGAACAGACACTGCTTCAACAACATGTCTGTTATCAGCCCCAAAGATAAACTGTCATGTCTTAAAATTGTAGTGAACAAGGCAGAAGCTATTGACAGTATCTGACCAACTCAACTACATACTAGCTGCACTTTGGAGGAACAGGATTTTGCTTAGTCTTCCTAATTGCTCTGTTTATATTCCTGAGGTGATGGCAGAGGAATGAAGGGGAGGATAGTGCCCTTTAATTGTGGCACAGAGAGTTTCTTTTAAGAATAGGATCACTAATACATGTTATTTACTTAAGATATTAACAGGAAGAACAAGTGTAATTAGGAAATAAAACCTTCCCCTACATTAAAAATACAGTTTGCTTCTCATGTGTAGTGGATAGTTTTAGTTCCTTTTACTGATGTGGAGATAATGGTGGATTTGGTTATAGTAGACATGTTCTCTTCCCTCTTTCTGGACTAATGCCAGGTTGGCCCTAACATTCACTGTTTTGTTGCTTCACTGGAGCATTTGCTAGAACATTTATTCTCTCTGTGCTCCAAATACGCCTCCAGGATTCAGAATCCTGACACAAAAGGCATGGGTACTAAGCATATTCAAGAAAAGCTTGAAGATTAATTATCTGTCTACATATCTGACAGCAATATTTTAAGATTCTTTGAAATTAATTATTTGAATCATAATGGACTCAGTTCAGTGTTCTCCCTTCCAAGATAAATAATTATGAAAGCATATGTATAGGTTTTTTTTAAAAGTCAGATTCTATGACCACAGCTCTGTTCTAGCTAGATGTTATGGATTCCAATATCTTCTTTGAACGTGTGACACTGTCAAATTGTCTCCCTTGCTTACACAGTTTTGCAATTTGTGTGGTATTACTAGTCTGCTGAGGTGGCTGCATTTCAGTGGTGTTGAAACTCCCTTGAGAATAGCATTTTTTAATGGAAAAATGCTAGGCTTAGATTGGCATCCTCTGATAAACTAGGAATTAAAAATATAACTCCTGGTTTCTCTCTATGCTGCTCCTTTCACGCAGAAGGAACCCTTATACTTTAAAACAACTTGTCATTCCTTCAAGCCTGCCTTTTAAATAATCTTGGGTTATAATGTCTGCAAAACCTCTTCAGAACAGTTAGACATCTGGTAAACTGACAGAAGTTCAGATGTTTATCATATCGACCAATGTCTCGTTCTTTTTAATTTGTGCTGCCTTGTCTGTCTGCATATGTTCTTATTAAATTTAGACTGCATCATAGAAAAGACTCTGCTACGCTTCTGAGGGCTAATATTAGTGGAGTCCTGAGATGTGATTTCTATAACTAGGATTCATGGGAATTCCTGAAAATGTCAATACCAATGTATAGTGCCGGTAAAAAAAAAAAAAGATGTTACCAGTTACTTCACTTGTGCTAGGAATACACAAAGGGTACTGAGCAAGCACAGAGGACTTCCTTTTATCAGTCTTAAGCTGCTACTGCTAGATTTAAAAATCACTAATAGTTTTTCTTCTTCTTTATTGCTCACAGGAGAACAATAGCTGGATTTGAAGAACTAATAGTGTTAGAAGTTGATGTATCACATCATTTAAAACTGATCATCTCCAGCTTTTATATGCATACATAATTTGATTTTAACTGTAGCTGTTCCCTGAGGTTATGATTAAGACATAGTTGGAATTGAAATGGATACAGCACAAGAACAAACCCATATCACTTCACCATTCAACATAATAATGCAAAATTCTACATAGAAAAGTTATTCTAAACTACTGTGGGCTCCATATTTTATGCCACTACCGGGCTTTTATAATTTTACTGGTTGAAGTCTAGCTTTTAGCATGAAAAGTGAACTCTGTACCAGCTTTGCTTTTATTTTTCTTATTCATTATTATAAATGTCAAATATCTGGAAGACAAAATTAGGTTGTGTCACTGACAAACTCATGAGCATACTCAAATACAACTAAATAAATGATGGAAGAGTAACTGTGTTAAAACATTACTTTTTAAATAGTCACTTCCCAGTGTAATAATACATTGTAGTATTCTGCATACCATTTGTGTTATAAACACCTGACTAAATAACCATAGGTTGGGGCTTAGTAAAGCAGATTTGTCCCTGCTGAATACTTTAGAAGCTAGCCTGCAATCAAAGGTTGGATTTTTCTTTTAATTGCTGAATCTGACATATAAACATAGCTTTTACAAATGTTTGTACATGTCACCAAGAAATCTATATATTATGATTCCTGAATTATTTACCTGTTCTGGTCTTTGATTTTTAGGGTATATTACAGGTAAAAATGCAGGATTCCTAATCAACAAGACTAACCTATGTTAATTTTAACAGTTTAATTCTTTCATTAACTGGATCATCAACATGCGTTTCTCAGCCAGACAAGAGAGAAAACTGCCTTTTAAGATACAGAGACAAACATAGGTGCTCTAGTCTGACTGACTGCTGTGCTATTGTGAACAGTGTATTTTACTGATAGAGCACTGAACTCTAAAGCTCAAGTTTTGAAGTCTTTAGTAGATGGATCTCTCAAGTGCTGTAGCATTATTCTTAATTTTGGGTGCAGTTTCGTTTTCACCTGGCTGTTCTAAACAGTGCAATCGAAAGACATGATCCCAAACTCTCTTTGTCTTTGGCCATGCATTCCCACTGTCTCCTGCGACTCTCAGTAATCCAGCTCAGGAATAATTTACTTTTGTGTTCAAGGGAAGCAGCAGGGCCAAGCACTGGGAATGAAAGTGAGAGGCAGGAGGATGCCTTTTAATATCAAGATGAAGGCTAGTGGGTGAACAAGAAAGACAGGATTCCAACTCAAGGGTACGTAAATGTTATGACCCAGGAATAGACTGGAAGATTGTTAGAATCAAGTACAATTCTTATACTTTTTCAAAATCATCATTACAGAGTCCTTGAACATAATATTATTAAAGTTTTGTCATGTTGCCTATGCTTTCTGTACTTTTGTGCAGTGAAAGTCAAGACAATTTAAAATGCAGTGTTGAGAAAGCCCATCTCTTTCTAAAATATTCTGATTAGGCAGCTGTTTAGATGGGATAGGAGGTTCTACATTCCAAGTCTAGCCTCCAACCATCACAGATAAATATGCAATCTATCCTTTTAAAAAGTTCAAGCTTCATTTTAAACTGAGGAGGATATATCTTTCTGCAACTGCCACTATTCAGAAGACTCTTTCAGAACATCACTGCTCTAATTTTTGCTCTAATATTTATTCTCCTGATAGTTTTATAGATAGCAATGGTGTTCCTTGTTAATTGTCATTTTGCTAGGTTATAGAAAATACACTTTTTAAATCTCTCTATGATAGGTTTATTCTCTATGTGATAGGTTTCCTCCACCCTTTTTCCATATTCAACTAATCTTTGTCAAGCATGGCTCATACAGTGGATTCCAGTACAACATGAAGTTTTACTAGTGTCAAATTCAGAGAAGCTAATGCTTTCTTACCTGCAGAACAGATATTTCAACTAACACAGATACCTAGGGCAAGTATTGCTGCATGAATGCCCTATTCCTATACTCTGACATGAGTGTTTATTGCTGGTCACTGTCAATGAGGGCATAGTGTGTTAGGCAAACCTTTGGTGTAGTGTACCATAGCTATTCTTATTTTCTTAGGAAGTTTATCCAGATTTTTATCTTCTGCTGTTTCTGTAAGAAGCATTTTCAGTGTGTAACAGAAACTTTTATTAGTTCCTGTGTAATTGACCTTCTGTTCTATTCAGACACTTTGCCCTGGTTTTATTACTACAGTAAAATTTTCCAGTTCTACCTGTAGGAAATACTAACCACATTCTGTTTTATAGGGCCTCCCATCTTTATGTCATCAGTAAATTTCTCCAGACTACTTTTCGTGACAAGGTAATCAATGTAAATAAGATCTCCTCCAAGGCTGAACTTCAGAATTTTCACTAATAACTTTCCTATAGTCCTATTGCTTTCCCATTAAGTCTTGTGTCTAGAACATCAATAGAACTGCCTGATATTTATTTTGACATCTATCGCAGTTTTCCCTTCAGTAAACTGCTACAATTCAACTTGAATTGCATTATTTCCCATGTCTAGGTCTTCTTTTTTTTCCAAACTTATCTCACTGTCTTGCATACTATCAAGGCTGGACAGCAGATCCTTGGCCATTTTTTTCTTGTCGTTAAATATAGACATAAGAATTGCTATGTTTGCTATTGCAATTTTTAACAAAGTTTTAAGCAAGACTCTCATACTGAAGACTTGGAGATAGGCAGCATCAATGTTACTCCAGGGTAGCTCAACATATGGTTTCTCCTGTTTTATTGTATAAATAACATGATACTTGAATGAAACCCAGACTGAGTCCTTCATAGATTCCTGTCAGGAAGTATCTCTTTTCAGAGTGAGGCTCCCAGCCATTAAAAACAAGATCTCTGTTTCCTATCATTTAAGACAGAAGCCATTATTTAAATTCTTAAGACACTAACTCAAATTCACAACAGAACAATCTCTTGGGAAAAAAAACCCAATACTTACCCCCAGTGACAATGACTTTTGCTTTTCCACAGTATGTGAAGGCATTGACTCCTCTAGGGACGGAAAATTCCTTTACAGGTCTGTAGTCATTAACAAAAGAGTTAATCAGGTAAGAAACATTAGGAAAATACAGTTTACTTTATTTTCTGTAGTATATAGAACAGCTGTTTGCATAATGTACACAATCTCTTGTTAAAAGCAAATTGACTTGTAACAGTGGTTTATAGTCATAGACTTATAGTGATACTAGCATCAATAAAACAGGAACAGGGTGCATTTTCCATTAAAGTAATAAATCTCTGATTTGAACACCTGAATCCTTTATCAGTCATACTCCAAACAGAATCCTAAAATGGTAGCTGTTGCCAAAGTAAGCATTCACACGTCTGCGTGCTTAAAGCAGTTCATCACTGAGGAAAGGCATCAAAGCAACTGCCTTTGCCTGTTTTAGACATGGAGGTTATTGTGGCCTCTATTTTGTGTAAAGTAAGTGCAGTTACTTTTCTGCTGCTTACATATAATGTATTGTATAATGCATAGTCTCTATTTTATCTATTGTGTGTTGTGTAATAACATGAAGACACTGCAAGTTTCTGAAACTCAAATGAACTATTCTGTTGTATTCACTGTAATGCACAGGAATTATAACAGCCAACACAGACTGAGATTGACTCAGTGTCCCTTCTAAAACCATCCTTTGAGCAACTTCTGCTTGTCTCTCCACATTTCATACATTGCTACTAATGAGTGAATATTTTCTTGATTTTTGGATTCAACATGGCTGACACCCATCTCCCCAGGAAACGACTGTCAGTGTAAATAAGCTATAGAGAATTAAATGAGTATACATTTAAATTATTTCTTTGAAATCCAGACAAGTAGGTAGTTCATTTATTCTGGGCTAAAGAGTAACCATTAATATTGAAAACCATAACTGGGAATGACAGTAAATTTGACAAAAGACTCTGGAAACTTTGAGGATTAATAGAAGACCTTGTTCTTTCTTGGCAGGTATAAATAAAAGGCTGTTCACTCCCTATTAGAGGGAGCAAAGCTTTCTTTCCAGAGCTCTAACAGAGGACTCTTAATTCTCTTGATGGTATAAAAAAGCAATTAATTGATTTAAATGTGTGATGGACAGATTTCCTCAGGATTTGTCACCTTTTTTCTTTAATTCTTAAATTTAATACTTCTATATAACTGTCTATCGGCTCTTTAATGAATGTTCTTGATACTCTTCCAACATCAGTGTGAATAAGGGGGTCTTTCAATAAGGGGTTCAGTGAGAAGTCCTGCCAAAGTCATGGCCTTGCAGCGGAAGCACTCTGTGATCCTATTCACACCTTTTTTTTAGATACTTTACAAGAAAAGAATATAACTGCTTATCAGCCATTATCCACAAAGAAACCTAACAGTCACATAGAAGACAAGATACATTGCACTCCTCTTCAAGCACAATAACAATTTCTTGCTGCAAAGTTAATTGGGGAAATTTGTAAATCATATAAATCAGTAAATCATATATTCAACCATAATTACTTATGGAATGGGCATTTCAAAGGGATTTGATCCACAGCTGTTTTTAGGCCTATTAATACAATTTTAACAGCTGTGTAATTTTTCAGTTGTCTAAATATAATTTCATTTAGCTGCTGCATGAAACTGCTTAGAGAAATGTGTTTATTGCAATTGGAGACACGATTATAGTCAGTGTTAAATGAAAAAGACCTACCAAGATATTTGCAGTTTATGTTCTGTATTACAAACAGTGTATGGTGGTAGCATATACCCTTTTGACTATATTTTCTTTCTCCTCAAATTTATTCTATTTTTCCAAAACTCCCAATAAAATCAAATAAATAGGATTTCTCAGCTTTTCTCCTGACACAGTATGTGACCTTGGACAAACTATAATTATTTCATATTTCATTTTCCCCATCCACAACAGATATGCAAGACTCATAAAAGCTTAAGTTATTGGATTGATGCAAGAATTATTATGTGAATATTTATGGCCTGTATTGTACAAGAGATAAAACAGATTATCATAATTGCTGCCACTAGCCTTAAAATTCTGTTAATCTCTGGATGCACCTCACAGAGGAATTGTGAAGCTGATCTAATGTTTACAAAGCTTTAAGATATTTGAATTAAAAGTTCTACCTATACGTTATTTATAGTTCCTTTTTACATAAAATTGTATTTGTATTATTTATTTTTTAATTGGGCTATAAACTCCTCTAAAGTCACAGACCAGTAAGGCTTGGAATCAGCTATAGCACTGATGGGCCATATGCATAAGGACATGGAACAAATAAGGAGGCCACAACCTCTTTCGTGCTGTATAGTAAATCCATTTCACAGCCCTCAGAATAAATTGCTTCCTTGGTTTAAGTTTGTGTAACTGAAACTTGTGAAACTGAAACTGTTAATGAAACATTCATACATGATATACCTGTAACAAAGCAATCAATTTCCTAACTAAAATTTGTCTGCTGAGGAGATGTTGGAGGGGACAACACTGCCAACATAACATAACTTACTTTTAAGGGTTGTGAGTAATGAACATATATGGACAGCCCTCTCCTACATCAAAAGCTAACAAACAAAAATGTTCAAGTATTTAAGTAGTTGTACTTTTGTTTGTGTTAATAATGCTTATAGAAAAAACAGCTTTCATACAACAGGATGGCATCTTGCAAGGCACTGATCTCATGCAGAGTTATAAAGCAAAAGGTGGATTTTTTCAGATGTCATATACTTACAAGTTGTCCTCTAGTCGCTTTATGTCATCCAAAACAAATGAATGAATGCTGTCTGAGGAGCAGGATCCAAAGCAATTTAGGTCAGAAATATACTTAACTTTCACAACCCAGTCATCATGTAGCTTGCGTTTAACACTGAGGATATAAATCAAGATGTTATTAGGATATACTAGCTTCTACAGTAATATGCCCATAGATGGACAGGGATTTTGTCAGTGAGATTATACACAGGCAATGTTAACATTTAATATCCAGAGCAGATATAGAACCACTCATACACTTCTCTAGTCGCAATTATGCTTCCATCTAATCAGGCACAATAAAGCTGTGCCTGTGTCAAATTGGATAACAGCAATTGTGAATTCTTCCTTGGAATTTTACTCTGCAGCCTCTCTGCTGTACGATCTCTTGTTAGATCTCCTACTGAAAATGATGGCATTTCCTTCACACAACAAGCAAATCATACTTACTTTAGTTTGAAAAATTATTTTCTTTGTTAGGTGGAGTTAATTTAGACACAAAAGCTAATCCTCCACTTAGGCCAGAGGAAACCCAATTAAAAAAAAAAAATGGCCAGACATAATATTTTATCATAAGCAACTTACATGTTAAAAGTTTTGGAGTCCAAAACCTGAAGTGGTGATTCTTTTTTGCCTTTACATTGTTTCAATCTAAAGTGATCACTGGTCACAGTAAGCAGGTGAACGAAACCCTTATCATCTCCCATTAGGATATTATCCTTAGCCAAGTGATTTGACATAGTCACCGTGCAAACACAGAGCAGACCATTTTCCATTGGCTTGATGGTAAAGCAATTATGCTGTGAAATGTAGTAGATAGTTTATTAGATATTGCACATGAGCCCTTAAGTTGACTGAACATATCATGCTTATCTACTTGTATCAGCATTCAATTCTTGACTTCGTTTTTTCAAGCTCCCCCTGTGCTAGCTGTTTCCTGCTATTAGAAACTCATGGAAGATCATCACCAAGTGAAGTTAAATGCTGATTTTAAGGATTTCAGTGAGGCTTTGTTTCATAGGTAGCCTTTTACATTTCAGTGAGGAAATATTAATTACAAATTTTAGGGAGGATCTCACCATACTGAAGTGGGATGGTGTATTTGCTAAGACTGTATATGGTTTTCTATTCAAAAATAAGATACTAGCTAAAAGAAAATAGAAAATAGCCAAATTAAAGAATTATTCAAACCACAAAATGCAACAGTAACACACAGAGAGAAATTATATCAGAGTCCTAATTATTAATACAGCCTGGGATACCAAGTGTACTTATATGCGCAGGTGTTTCAATTTTCAGTAATTGAGATAGTGGGAACGAATACAGCCGCAAGCCATTGTGGTATGTTGCTAGGCTGAGAAGGCCTGGGAATGGGATTTTGGGTCATACACATTATACTGTTTATTGGTTCTACTGCCTGACTCCATCTGTTATTTTATAAAGCATCCTTGCCAACCTAAACTGGCAACTGTTCACATGCCACAGGAATTAACTACTTCAATGTTGTCCATGCAGGAACATTAAAGAGACATAACACATATATAGAACTGTCTATGTATTATTTCTGTGGTCTCAAAAGAGAACTGCTCCTATTCAGCCACAGGAGACTTTCAGCATTCACTGGTGTAATGACTGCAGGAAACCTGGAGAATAATGAGTGGAGAATAAATTTTTGAGCCTTCCTTCCCAGGAGTCCAACTGGATTGACAGAAAACCTTCCATTGACTTGTCTGAGCTTGGGGAGTGGCCTTTTAATATCAACAACAACAAAAATCCTAAGACTTCATCTTATCCTAAAAATATTTACTTTGTTTCTTCTTATCTTCTCAGCCAACTCAGAATTGCTGAGAAAAGTCCCAGGAACAGGAGGAAGAAGTTAATGCATGGGTCAGAAATCCTTGCAAATTTTTTTTTTTTTTTTTGTAATAAGGCATTCAAGAAAAATTTAGCCATTTGGACATACACTATTAACATCAAGATGCTTTTCCTCTTGTAAAGTCATGAACAAAATGCAGGATATGAAGAAATATTTTCATTAAATGAGGAAGTTATCTCAAAGGAGTCTATGTTAAATTCTTTGGAAAACTTGTCCCTTGATTCTTAATAGATTCCAAGATATACATGCACACACATTAGATGCAAATGTGCACACATATGCATTACATATACATAGAAAATAAATGCTTTGGTGGTTTGTTTGCAACATAGTAAAAAATTTTCCTCTTTATTCCAAGTTTTTAAGACACACTACTAATCCCACTCGGTGTGGAAAAGGTATTCCTTCTTCAGTATAAATTCCACTGTTTCACTGAGTTCCTACAAAGACAAAAGTTAATGCCTGTATCCTGTTAGACAAAAGGAATGTGAATGTATATTGAAAACAAAGACTAATCTTTTGCAGGCTTCCTCTTTAACATTTGTCTGATCCAACATAATACCTGACTCCCTTTTGATTTATAGTCCCAGACGATGACTGCCCTTTCAGTTACAGCCACGACACATTTCAGCTGAGGTAGGAAATCACATCCAGTGATCCAAGCAGTATCCTAATGAAAATAAAAAGGGTAGCTAAAGAAAGATTTTCTCTGCAAATTTATAAACTTCTCTGCCATTTAAGTACATATTTTAAACCATCTCCACATAAATCCCATATACTCTGCACTAGAGCTGCTAGGTCCTGTCCCAGGTAACAGAACTGAGTGTTCTATCTCCAGGAATAGCTCATACATGAAATTACAGAGGTGCCAGGCTCAACCTCTGTTAACAGTGACTCACCTCAGATGCACAGATGTTGCACATGAGAGGACACAAATACATATATACTGTTAGTTGAGCTGTAATGACACTCTGAAAAAAGCACTCTGAGCAGAGGATACTTAAGCTAAAACATCCATGGTAAAGCAAATCAAATTTTTACTTGGATATGGTTTAGTTGAAAACAAAAGAAAGTTAAAGGCAGTCAAAATTTCAGCTATAATAGCACAAACCCTACTGAAATGAAAGTTTCTGAAAATAAGTAACTGGTATTAAATAATTTTAATTCTCCCAGTAGGTAGATCAAATATTTATAAAGCTATTCATCTGCCCATATTAAGCCATCGTTCAAGTATACCTCCAATTATACAGGTTTTAATGTAAAATAATTTCTGTTGCAAAGTGTAAGATTATTGACTCAAATTCACTATCACACTGTCCAGAATTTTGTTTTTTGTTGCAACATTAAAAACTGTTTTATCCCTACCCCACCCCCCCAAATGTAATGGACCTTCCTAAATGACAGTGGGATTGAAATGGAATATGCTCCATTTGCTATGTCTGCTATGGCACAACTATCTATCACTTTAAAATAATTCAGAACAACTATAAAATAACACTGACTGAAACATCTTACTTTCTTTTCTAGATTAAAGTGACAAAGAAACATTTGACGCAAACTTAAACAACACAGTTATTGCAGTTCTTTAAGTGAGCTACACCTACCTGTAACCTCTAAAAAATAGTTCCAGTGGAAGTACTTGATAAACAGCTAAAATAGGGACCTATGTTGCTAAAGATACAGTTTACATCCACCAAGTGAGTTAGGAAGCAGAAAGCACAATACTAAATCCATAGTGAACTGAAGGCATCAGCGCTGCTGATGCTTTGACTTTTATTCGCATTGTTGTACACAATATTGATTTTGCTGTAAAGAGTCCAAAATCCTGACAGAGTGATGTCAACACTCTATTGCAGGAGAAAGCTTCTTTCCTTCCTAATGGCCTCTGGGCAGGTGCTAATCCACTTATAAGGATTTCTTTTGCTGTTTTCTACAATAAACACATGGAAAATGTCAGTCCTGCAGGGGCCTTATGGGCTGCTTGGTAATTCTTACGGAAAACTTTGTTAACTGTGGCTTTTTGGGGTCCTTTAAAACAGTGTCAGGTAACAATGACTAACTGGTATGAAAAGCTGATTTTAAATTTGTAATTAAGCTACTATTTTGTAGTGCTGGCTTGTGACGATGTAGTCAAAGTAACAGAACTGCATCTTGCAAAGGTTTTGCAGGCTATCACATGCAGTGAGATGGTACAGAGGCAAAAGGAAGATCAAAACCAAGCAGTAAGGAGAATTTTTGTACTTGACTGCTTACAGAAAAAGTCTAAAGGTCAGATGTCCCTTTGCTTTCTTTTTTGTGTTGTAGTTAAATTTTAGGTAATAAAACAAGCCCTGATGAAAGGACTTAAAACACTGATATCAACAACTTTATTTCATAGGTTTGCCTAGAAATACAACCAAGAATCTCTGCTATTGCTTTGAAATAATTAAACAAAACAAATCACATTACAGGATAGTGATCTGAGAAGGTATGACTAGTCCTTATTTACAGATCAAATGCCCCCTCCCTTGAAAAGTTTTATTCCCCATCTATGTTGTCCTGGTAACTGAATCTTTCCAAGTCAGTCAGTATATGCCTTGAGAGGGGACATGACTTATCCCAGTTGAACACAAAGTATTTCTCACCTATTTGGGAAAAACAACTCATTTAACCTGTGAGGATAATCTTGGAAGACAGAAGAAAGGCAGATGTCTGATACCAGTTAAGGAAAAATGAATAGGAAAGGATAGACATTAGCTTGGCAACTCAAGGGGAACGTCTTCATCATACTTAAATGTCTTTTAGGCATCTTAGCTCAAGGCTACTATTCTGTTTTCCCACACTGAAGGTCAAATTCAAATACTTTGAGAACATAGGACAGACTGAAAATGGCTGTTGTCATTCAGACTGGCAAGGGGATATTCTTCTCTCAGGGCACAATTTACTAATTCTAACAGAGGAATTAAGCAAAATATTAGAACAATGATATTCACATGCCCAGCAGTGAGCTACAGTTTCCAGACATGTTTCTTTAAATGTCTCAAAGAGCAAATGTTTTCCTTTAACCTGTGCTTCAAGGCCTACTATGAAAGTCTACTCTTTTGAAGCTTTCTTCTAATTGAGCTATATGTCACCTCTTCAACATTCTGTGAAGTCTTGTCTTTTTTTTCTTATCCCATGTCTACCTACAGGTAAAAATGCACGGGGTATTTACTGGGTGCTCGCACTTGACACTGAGACCTTTAATTTTTTCTTTCAGATGAGGTCAGAGCCCTTTCCACAGGATAGAATAACTGAAGAGAGAAAGCTAGATTCTTTCCCATTGATGATAGAAACAGATGCCAGGGACCCTTTGCCCCTTTGAAAATCTGATATAGCAACTGAAGCCAATTAATTTATTTTAGATTTTCATACACACAGACAAATGACATTCAACATTTCACATCCAGGAAAAATGAGAAACATTTAACTTTCCACAACTAAGCAACTAAACTGTACAAAATTTAGTTAGTTTCTTAATTACATTGGAGTCTAAGTCCATATACTTACATTCAACAGGGCCTTAATAGTCTCTGCTTCCCACCAATCTACACAATAACTTTGGTTCCAGTTTTATGAGGCAATTCTGGATATCACTTTCTCCCTTACTATTCTCTCCATGTAGCTAATGATGCTGAGCCACCAAACAGGGTATGAGCATGGACTTCAACTTCCCTCTCTTGTCACAGTATCTGTGACTAGAAAAGACGACTGTGAAATGAGAACTCAGTAGCAGTTAGTCCCCAGACAAATGAAACGGAACACGCACCCATGCATTGCTATGTAAAGGTACCTTAATGCTTAGCGTGTTCTCAGGGAAAATCTTTCTTTCATAGGGCTGAGGACTATTACTCCCCTAAAGAATTAGCAGTGAAAGGGAAACAGGTGTTGGAATAACACGTGCCTTCTGCTCTGACTGTTTTTACTCCAAATAGGAACAGCTCTATCCTCTAATTCATCGAGGGGAAGGCCTGCTTGCAGTTAAGTAAGCATTTAGAAAACAGCGAAGTAAAATCAAGTTTGATCTTTCTTTTACAGCGAAGCATCCTAGCCATTGTATTGTAGCATTCACTGGCTTACAAACATGACTATCATTACAATACTATTTCACTTAAAAAGGGGAGAAAAACTGACAGAAATTACAACCTAAGAAGCATTAAAAACACTTCTGGTTTGAAAGGTAAATAAGAATGTGTGTTCATAGGAAATTTTTTTTACAAGATCTATACAAAGGCTACATACATCAACTTATGTCTAATACACACACAAATAAAACCATATGGTGTACATGTTCAAATTTTCCTTACAGCATCTGAATGGCAATGAACTTTGAGTGACAGCAGAAAGACATAGATAGAGAAGCAATGAACACTCCAACAGGAGGAAAATGTTGGCCAAGACAGAATTTCTCTTGTAAGAGAAATCTCTTCTCTCTAGAAGATAAATATTTCTAATTATTGATTGGCAGTCTAAAAAAGTATCTGAAAAAGTCAGGTTTCAACACGACATGCAATTTGTGCATGTCAGCAGAATGCAAGAATTAGTAAAATGTACTCCAGATTTATCCTCTTCTTTCCTTTTGCATTATTTATAGGCACAGTCATTTGATAATGTAACAGCAAAAGTAGAAAAAAAGAAGTGTTTATTGCACCAGTTTATTAGAAGTTGCCAGTCAGGGAAAGATCCAGCATAGAAAAATCAAAGTTTCCTGGAACAGGCAGCAACAGAAGTGTTTTCATGTACATAACTGAATCATTCTCATGTTAAGACAAATTGCACCAGTGAAATTACTTAAATTACACCAAAGATCAGTGGTTATAAAGGTCTGGAGAGACTACTATAATAACCAAGTTTGGCTTCCTGCATAGCATGCTCCAGAGAATGTCCACTGAGAAGTTTAGAGCCTAACAGAGACCGAGAGATTGTTCAAGTTAGCTAGCACTGCCTTCCAGGCCAGTTCTTGTTCAAGGACCTCAGCCTGTGGAGTAAACAGGCTCTGTAAACAGCAGAGCATGGTACTCTATCCTTAAGATCCAAAATAGAAGTTCTTAGCCAAAACAGACTCCTCGATTGGCTTGAAACTACTCGGAAACTAATAGTATGAAAGTCCTGAAGAGAGCAATGCACAAATTAATAGATTAATTTGATACACTGAGAAGCGGCTGATACAAGAGAACAGTCTGCCAGAAACTATAAGCGAAACATGCTGCCTACTTCTAGCTTTAGAGTGAAGGCTATAAGAATTTCTCTTCTTAGCACTGCCGTACTTGACAGAGAAATGAGGCAGTGGCACCAGATCACCCTTTTCATTATTTCCTTGTTCCATCCTGTCAATCCGAGGCTCTATTTTCACTCCCTCATTTCCAATACAGTTTCTGTTTTAGCTTGTCTGGCTCATCCACTGGCTCTGTTCATGCTCTTCTATGCCCTATTTAAAAGACATTTCATTTTCATTCTTCAAGAGAAGTGACTTGTTCACTACCAGTATTCCCACCATCATCACAGATGTTTCTGTGCTGACTACTGTTTTTGGGACCTGTCAGCTGGAAAACTGTTAAACCATGCACTCTAGTGTTTTTTTCAGTGGTCATATTTTAAAACAGAAAGTCGTATGGTAGCAAGTTGAATACTGTACAGAGTTTTAACTGTATTATATTTATGCTTCTATTCTTTTCACTCAGTCACATAATCTGAGGTACTTTCAGGTACTCTCTACAACTACCTGAAAGGGGGTTGTGGCGACGAGGGTGTTGGCCTCCTCTCCCAAGTAACTAGTGATAGGACAAGAGGAAATGGCCTCAAGTTGTGCCGGGGGAGGTTTAGATTGGATATTAGGAAAAATTTCTTCACTGAGAGGGTGGTCAAGCATTGGAACAGGCTGCCCAGGGAGGTGGTGGAGTCTCCATCTCTGGAAGTGTTCAAAAAATGTGTGGATGTGGCGCTTCAGGACATGGTTTAGGGGACATGGTGGCGCTGGATTAATGGTTGGACTTGATGATCTTGAAGGTCCTTTCCAACCTAGTGATTCTGTGATTCTGTGAATCTCATCAAGAAATGAAATCAGGTTTTCTTGAAGTGACCTGTTCTCCATAACATCCCTGGAACAAAACAGTAAATGATCTGTACTCATAGCTGATGTTCCATTTATACCGTGATGATGCTGGGAAAGTTCTGATGGCTGCAGTTCAATGGATTTTATTTCTAGAGCTACTATGTTTCACAGCCTTTCTGGTTCAATATCATTAGGGCCAAGACCTCTCGTTGAGTAAGTCTCTGTTCTGAAACACCTTAAGAATGAGAACACTGGATGGAACAAGGTAGAGGAACCTGAGGACTGTTCTGCATTTTTTAATCCACCCTCTACACACATCATTGGTTATCAATGGATGGAAGGTTTGCAGTCTGATAACTTATCTCTGAACTCAGTACCTTACTTCATTTGCACAAAGATGCATACAAATATATAGCTTGATCAGTTAGCTATGCCAGTATTGATGATGTTAACACAGATGAAAATGGCATAATAACTGTAGTGAGAAAAGAATGGACTGTTATTTCTGCAGATCTGAAAAAGAGAAATGTAATCCCTGCAAGGCAAAGGCAGCTTTTTTTTTAATAGCTTTTGCTATTCAGAAATTATAAGGTATTCTTCACAGTTGTACATTATAACCATTTGGTGCCGAGGTCTTCAACTAGTATAGTTCACCATATGTTTAATAAGTAAATGGTGGGTGATGATTTACACTCACATAAGATATTGTCCTTTGATTTTTAATAAGTGTTTAGATAAAAGCTATTAAAATGCAGAGCTTCAGTTTTAATAAGCATGCTTTACAACAGAAACATTGCAACCCAATTCTAGAGATATATCTCTCAAAGAATCCCCAGGTTAATAAATCTAATAAGATCACCCATTTCAACTGTCTGGAAAGCGTAATTTATTATCTCAAAAAAATCTAGAATTTTATTTCATTGCAATTTGGGATAAGGATATAGAATTTCAATTTTAAGAACAAAATAGCTTAAAATATTATATTTTGCAAGCATCAAAATCTTTTAACAACCATCAAAAAGTTCAGGAACCTCAAGCCCAGTAATAGCCATTTTAATTCTATTTTCAGTGCAGTAGTTAGAGAAAGGATGAGAAGAAAGTAAATTGGCTAAAGACAGGACTGTTCAGTGCAAACACTTAAATAAGAATGTTAGATAAACTTGCCTATGCCCTAAGATAAGGCAGAGCAAGAAGCAGAAGAGGTTTTTTAACTAGACCATCAGTCTATCACAATACTGATGCCAAAATAGTGAATATAACAAGAACAACAAAAGTTACATGAAGTCATCAAATACTATTAAATCTTTCAGAAATAGAGCCAGAACGATTTAATAGGGTTGTGGGCATGGGCTTCTCTTTTCTCATCACTAACCATTAGCTCCTCAGTCAGTTAAATGTCCCTGGGAAGCCAAAGATTTTCCCCTGAAAGACTTTGCACCCTATGGTAGAAACTGCCATACTCAGCAGTAATGATCCCAACCGATCCAGTGATCCCAGCAGCGACAATCCTCCATCCCAAAGGGAAGGAATACAAACTATTTCTAACCTACTTTTTCCTTTCCCTAGGGAAGGCTGAAAAAGTGGAAACATCTCAGCTGGGAAAGGATAGGAGAGTGGCATGTAACAACAGAGACAGCAGATCAGGCTAGGCCACACAGATGTGGTGCAGAGCTTGAACAGAAGTGGGTGCTCATAAATACTAAACTTTTATCTGTGGGTACTAAAACTACCAGTTTTGCTATTATAATTGTTTGTAATCACAATCCTAACAATTATGGTATTACACTATAATACTGAGAGATACCATTATATTAAACATATCCTACTTTCACACTTTTATGGCAGAGATGACCTTCAACAGTGCCTAATTCTGCCATGGCTGCCAAGTATCATCCTACTGCCACAGCATAAAGACCTCCACATCCACTGAGGAATCATTCTAAGATTAGTGCTTCATGCTCAGAAAGGAAAAGGACTTTGCAGCCTCTTCCCACTGAAGCATCAGGCTGCTGCTTCAGCTCCTTCCAGATTTTTCCCCTTGGCTTCTATGGGCAGAAGCACCAAATATTGTTCTGATCCTACCTTTGCATATTTGGACTGAGCAAGTTATTCCTACAAGCAAAGCAGGAAGAAACTACTAAAATTCACTCTTGTAATACAGCTGTAGGAGAAGCTCTAAGCTGATTCTAGTAAAACTTTCCAAAAGTTGATAGGTCCCAAGAATGTTTCTCACAGCTTACCTCTCTGCATTGATTCCACAGGTCAGACTAGTCCTTGCAATAAATTAAATGCAACCCAGGCCCAGGGCTGTTTTCTGATTTGGAGTGTTAGGGCCTGTGGTCTGGAGTACTTCTATTGCATTTTAGAACATCCACAATATGTGAGAGAGAATCAAAAAAATGTACTGCCCCCTGGCACCAGATACCTACATGGACTTCTAGGGCAAGGGGTCATGTCACTTTGTTAAGACTGATGACAGTTCTGTTGTCTGCAGGTCATCTGAAGGAAGCTCATGACCTAAAATCTGCAGTGATAGTCCAAGGATAAAAATGAGCTTTTCAATTATATACTGTGTAGCCAACCAATCTACCTGCAAGATGTAGAACTGTTGTTCACTAACGAACTTAACAATTTTTCTTATTAAAATTTTACAGTGACAATTGAAGTGTTGGATCTTAGGAGAAAAAATTCTGGAAAGGTACCAGGTAAAGGACAATTTGGTACAAAAAGCAGCATTTATCTGAGGTTTCTTTTTATCAGAGGAAAGAAATCAAGTTACTCAATTGCTTCTATAACTGAAAGGAATAAATTGAACCTGTTTAACCTATGGCACCTGTCCTGGTTTCAGTCCGGATAGAGCTGGTTTTCTTCACAAAAGCCAGTGTGAAGCTGTGTTTTGGATTTGGGATGAGAAAATGTTGATAACATGCTGATGTTTTGAGTTGTTGCTAAGTAGTCAAGGACTGTCCAGCTTTTCGTGCTGGGCTGCCAGCAAGAAGGCTGGGGGTGCACGGGGAGCTGGGGGGGGACACAGCCAGGACAGCTGACCCAAACTGGCCAAAGGGATATTCCATACCACACAACATCATGCCCAGTACATAAACTGGAGTTGGCTGGGGAGCGGAAATCGCTGCTCAGAGACGGGCTGTCGATCGCCGGGTGGTGAGCAATTGCTGTATTGGGCATCACTTGTTCTTGTACATTCCTTTGTCGGTATTATTATTGTTGTTATCATTGTCGTTTCCTTCTCTCTTGCTGTCCTGTTAAACTGGTTTTATCTCAACCCATGAGTTTTTTCCCAATTCTCTCCCCCGTCCCACTGGGGGAGGGGGAGTGAGTGAGCGGCTGCGTGGTGCTTAGTTGCTGGCTGGGGCTAAACCACAACACATCCTATGACAAATTATGCAGCAGTCTCAAGGTTGGAAGTAGCTTTAGAATAATGCTCGGTTTCTAACTATTTCACTTTAGTACCCGCTGATTTTTAATTGAAATGATTTAACAGAAGAAGGAATATGAACTTACTTCAACACTGGTGGTTGCCAGAACCCTCATCTGAAAAAAACAAAAATATGTTGTCACAATAATAAGTTAGCAGTTTGATTAAAAATCTGAACAGTCAGCTCTCCTGTATCACAGGCAGAACAGAACAGCAATAGCCAAGAAAAAGAATTTGCAGTTAAGATCTTCTGAGAAAGATCTTTAATCTACCTACTGTCTGTTCCCCTATATATAGTGAGGAACTTAAAACCTCTCTTTCTCTCACAGTTGTTTCATGGTTTGTTTGTTGTTTTTTTTTTAAGTTGAGATGGTGGAACGAGGAAAATAAGACCCCCCCCCGCCTTTTTTACAGTGGAGTACAGATCAGCTGTTCTGATGGAATTGTGCTTCTAACTGTGCTAGAACAGTTTCAGCTCCTGTAAGAGGTGGAATGTACCACACAGAAACCCAAGCTAATGCTGGCCCAGACAACATGTCACCTAGTGCCAGCAAAATACCAGGTAACACATTAGGCTGCAGTAGGAATATCCATATTGGTACAGCATCTTTCAGCAAAGTTAACTATTGGTGCACAGCATAGCATGTGACTCAAAAACGGAAGTGTTTAAAGTCACAGGGTGGTAGACATACCTGTCACCATCATCCAGTAGACACAGGGTTACCTTCTTTGTCCTTTAACAAAACTACTATTCAGTTTTCAAAAGCAGTTTCAACCTTCTCCCTTTTGAAGCACCCAGAGCTACTTTTTCACCTCCTCTAGCCCCTGCCCCTCATCAGTACTTAATCAGTGGTGTCTCATTCCCACCCCAGCAATTCCACATTTCATAAGCCAGGAAGCTAGGATCAAAGTCTTTCTTCCCGTGGAAGTGTGATGTCCAGTGTCATCACAGACAGTCTTTGTGCAGAGTTTAAAACTATTGTTAATCAAGAGCTTAAAATCCATGCACTGTTATCAGATTTGGCTTTATCTACAGTGACATTAACATTTACATTAACTATTAATTCTGTGCTGATCAAGGCAGGAACCATGCCTGAGAACCTGAGAAGGTTAAGTGTCTCATGTTCTAGAGTAAGCAGGCAATGGCTGATAATGCAGAGCTGCATACAGGTGTTGAAGCACATTAGGTCCACAATTGTTGCAGAAAGCAATGTTTAGACCTCAAATAGACTTATAGAATCACAGAATCATTTAGGTTGGAAAAGACCTTTAAGATCATCAAGTCCAACTGTAAACCTAACACTGCTAAGTCCACCACTAAACATAGCCCTAAGTGCCACATCTACAAGTCTTTTAAATACCTCCAGGGATAGTGACTCAACCACTTCCCTGGGCAGCCTGTTCCAATGCTTGATAACCTTTTCAGTGAAGAAATTTTTCCTAATATTCAATGTCAACCTTCCCTGGCAAACTTGAGGCCATTTCCTCTCATCCTATCACTTGTTACTTGGGAAAACAGACCCACATTCACCTGGTTACTAGCTCCTTTCTGGTTGTTGAGAGCGATAAGGTGTTCCCCAGGCTCCTTTTCTCCAGGCTGAACAACCCCAGCTCCCTCAGTTGCTCCTCATGAGTTGTGCTCTAGACCATTCACCGGCTTCGTTGCCCTTCTTTGGACATAGTCCAGCACCTCAATGTCTTTCTTGTAGTGAGGGGCCCAAAACCGAATGCTACCCAAGGTGCAGCCTCACCAGTGCTAAGAACCTCCTAGTCTGCAAATTAATATTTCTTTGCCTTCACTTCAATTTCTGATAGCTGCAGATGTGTAAGAGAGCATGGGATTTCTTATCATAGGGTTAACAACAGTGTCCAAGGCCTCATTTAGACAATTAGATTCACTAGCAATTTATATGTAGCAGATGATGGAAGTCTCTCACTGGTGAAACAGGAGATGATCTTGAAAGCTCTCCTGATGTATACAGACTAAGTTAAACATTCTTAAAGCCATCTAACATGACTGACACTAATTATTTGCTGATAAAAAATCTGATTAATTCTTATTTAACTGAGCTTTAATAGGTTGACAAGCAGTGATATGGTTTGCAACCTCTTTATTTTTCCTATTCTTATTTGTAAATCAGGTTTTAAAAAAAAATTTAACTATTCTCAGTTTCTACCCAGTATCAAATAAAAACTCCTTGTCTAGATTGTCAACTGACTCCAAGGATATAACACAACCATTACGGAAATTGTCAGGTTATATTTGCTTTCCAAAGACCAAAGAGAATAATACTAAGCTGATCTCATGGAAAGAGAGTTGCACTGGACATCTATTGCCACCAGGGTGAATGAACAGAATATGGCCCTGTCTCTTTCTCCACATGTATGTTTCTTACCAGTCAAATGCCCCAGAAGCAGCACAGTTAAAATCTGTAGTATATTAGATTCACTAATTATATCTGACCAAATATTATTTATTTATGTACATGGAACACACTGACTTCTATGGCATAAATGTGCATCCAAGAACACCGTAAGTTTAATAATCTTAAAAATGCAACAGTTATACAAAAATAAGCCTCTCTCTCTATTTGTCAATGCACTGCTCATGAGTTCATATTTTGGCCCCTCCACTCAGAGCGCAAGTCCCACAAAGCAGCATTTTCAGGGCAAGCCTCTTCATATTCCCTTAACAATATGCTGCAAAGCCAAACTAGATAAAACAGCTCACTAGCTAAGATTTTGAGGGCAGGTCGCTTTAAATACTTGGTCTTCGAGAGAAGAATAATGATGCAAAAGTTGCCAACTCTGTATTTGCCTTTGTGATGTGAAGACATATTCTAACAACAGGACTCAAATGACTGCAATGCTAGAGAACTAGAGTTTTCTTTTGCTTGCATCAAGCTATATCAGAGCAATTCTAATGAAGTCAAAAGTCATTTGCTCAGATCAACTGAGATCAGAGATCATATCATGTGTAAAAAATTGCCATTGTAATGCCTTAGTCATTTTCAGAACATACAGTTCTATAAGTGGGATTTGAGGTCTCTAATTCACTGTATTAAGCAGCTGAGCGTAAAATCATTTACACTGCAGTCACTGATGTCAGAGTGACACCAATCCAGTCCGTGAGGAGGCAGCAATTCAACTTGAAAATAGCATGGGAAAGTAGGGGGTAGGGAAGACAGCTATTTTTAACATTATACTTTGTGAAATTATTTTTCGGAGGTACATAAGCGGGATAATGCTCTGGAGGACAAAGAACTAGGCTTTCAAATAAATTATTTTAGTATTTACCAAAACTGCAGTACTGCTTTGTTGTTTAATCATACACAGGACTCCTTTCTTGCTTTACACGCTCTTGTCATAAGCATTATGCACTAATTATCTAAAACCCCTAGAAAGCATTACTGCTGCTTTAAAGCTTTACTGCATTGTCTGAAACAATTTTTAATAAACTGATTGTATTAAAATTGTACAAATGTAAAGCACCAATGAGCATAGATGTGTGTTGTACCTCATAGCATCTAAATAGTAATATAATAATCTGGGAGACTCATTTACAAATTCTACTTTAACATCTTGAGCCTGAACTTCTACTTAAAATGGTACAGATCTCCTTACAGTTTGTTGATAACGGGAGTTAACTGTGAAGCAGTGTCATGCAGACAGAAAGTTCAAGAATTTCAAGCTTCTAGATGTTGCTGTATTGAATAATTCTTCTTTGCAAAGAACTGATAAATGTTTCTGTCCATTCTAGATATTCTCAGTAGCTGTAGAGTTAATTCAGAGTTAATTCTCTGGTTTCCACTGTATATGCTAAAGTTAATTCCAATAGCATATTTTGTATTATGGGAAACTTTTTCTAAAAAGAATTGAAGATTATTTTCTATTAAAATAACTTCTGTTAAGCATGTCTTTTATTATCCATCTCTACATTCTGTCAAATTCTGTGGACTCTTCAGTAGGTTTATAATTGTAAATAACAATGTTTATTTCCTAGTGTACCTAAAAATATAGGAAAAGTTAACTTTAATAAAATGAGAGTTCTATATTTTTTTAATAGGTAAGTTTGCATGCTAGATCACATTTCACTCAGTTCCCATATATAATGCCTAATGGAATAATAAAAAGGTTTGTTTGAGTCAGAATTACCTGGTTGTTAAAAATAGTTAGCACTCCTTTCTGAGACGATGTTACTGTGAAATCCAGATGGGGCACCTTCACTATATCCGTAATCACATCTTGTCTCTTGACAACTGTCAATGACAAAATATTACTTTTCACCTTACAGACACAGAAAATCTAAACAAACAGAACCGTAACATCAGAAACGTTTTATCTTCCTGAAATCCATATTGGTACCAACTCCAAGGCAGTAATGCATTATATCATAGATTATCCTACACTTGACTTAAATAACCATGTTGCATTTTTAAATATCATTAATACCTTATGGATGTGTTAGTTCTTTCTACATTATTTAAAAATACAGAAAGGCAAAGAGTAACTGCATAAATAAATAGTTTGAGTCAGACAAATTCATAATTTCAAAATAATTTAGGAGAATGGAGAACTGGGCAAGGCAGCACTGGAGTGTTCAGACACAATGAGTTTAGTAAAAAACCATATATTCTGGAACACATAATAATAATAAGCATGCATAATAACCAAAGACAGACATACAATCTTATCACTGTACTTTCAATAAAGTGTGCAACATATGGCATTAAAAAAAATGTTTTTGGATACAAGATGAAGTATGTCACCTGCATGAGTAATCTGCTGTTTTTCGGACACAAGGAAAACCATGTTTTCTTCTTTCAGCTGGGAAGACGTGGCATCACTTTCTCCTATGAAATAGCCAAAAATCTAAACAAAACAAAATAGAACAAACCAAACAATTTACAACAAAACTACTTCTGGAATATATGTTTATATGTATAAAGTAAAATATTTATCTCACATTTTTCGCATTTAATATTCTTTGAGTAAGTTTCCCAGTGTTATTTGCCTTAACCATTAGCTGTCAATACGACTTTAGATTGCTGAGGTCTGCTACTCAGGCACAATCTTTCTTCAATGTTTGGAAAGAAGCCAGCATACACAGGACTTCTAGGAATAAAAAACATCTAGTTGATAAAGCGGTTAGTATAGCTTTGCCTTATAACAATTGTTTGTAAATAATCATCTTCAATTTCCTTTTTCCAGTTTTACCTACTTGTGGTTCCTCTGCTAGACCTTAGCTAGAAGAAAAAACAGTAAAAGGCAGACAAAACAGACTTCTCTAAATGTATAAACTGAGAGATTCAAAGTAGCATATGGTTTAGCCTACAGAGAAGAGCTTTTCCATAAAGTTATGTAGATTCTAATTTGCCTGAAAAAAAATTGAATATGAAGTCCATTTTTAAAAATTATTTTTTAAAGAATTAAAGAATCACCCTAAGCCTGGCAATGTTCCATTTGTACTGATCATGATGGACATCCCTACACAGGATATTCAGGTAAGTAGCTCATTTCTGCTCCAGGGTGTGACAATACTGCAGCTGAAATGCTCTTCAAACCTCAAGCTCCGTACCCAAGAGTAGGTTAGTCATTTCCTCAGGAAATGAGTTCAGACCCACTCAGCTGTACAGATTTTTTAATCTCCTTTCTCATATTATGGACATTATATATATTCACTTTTTTCCATGAGTTCTAAAAGCAATGCCCCTTTGGATGCAGGACAAAACTTTGCACTTTTTCTAGTTTAGTATCTTTCATGTTATACAACAAAACTCCCATTTTTCTTCTTTGAGAGATTCAGATGTACATCTTTCAAAAAAAATGTTCTTACACAATATTACTTTTCATCTCTCACTTCACAGCTACCTCCTTACCATGCACACAGTTATTATCGATGATACACCATCAGTCAATAAATAATCTGTCTATTATACCCCTTAGATTCCTCCTTCTAGTTTCTTGTAATATCACCTTGTTTTTCCATGCTGTATTCAAACAGGATACAGGATTTAGAACCCTAAATTCCAGGTGTACGCTCCTTCTGCAAAGTCATAAGAACATAATCTTCATGATGACCAGCATGAATCAAAAAGTGGTAATACTAGTAATTCATACATATGGGCTGTTTTTCATGTTATAGCATTTTCACAGTTTATTCTCACTGTTTCAAGTTCCATCTGAATCCCCCAATTGTTTAGTATTAAATAGAAGGGTTCTGAAAGGATTAGTGTGGCTAGAACATTATAATGGAGTGTTTCCCCGAAAAATCAAGGATATACTCTTTCCACTGTCATCAATTAATATTCCTGTAGCAGGTGTCCACCTGTAATACGTATAAAGTCAGTGTTACAGAATCACAGAATCACAAAGTCATGAGGTTGAAAAGGACCTCTTGGGATCATTTAGTCCAACTCCACTGTCCAAGGACGTCAGCTACACCAGGTTGCCCAGGACCATGTCCAGCTGGGTTTTGAATGTCTCTAAGTATGGAGACTCCACAAACACTTTGGGCAATTTGTTCCAGTGTTTGATGTACCCTCATGGTAAAAAAAGTGTTTTCTTGTGTTTTCATTGTGTTGAATGTGAAACACATTTCATGTGTTGAATGTGAAACACATTTCATGTGTTTCAGTTTGTGCCTATTGCCTCTTGTCTTAGAATCACACAGAATAGAATAGAATAGAATCATAGAATAGTTTAGGTTGGAAGGGACCTTTAAAGGTTGCCTAGTCCAACCCCCCTGCAATAAGCAGGGACATCTTCAACTAGATCAGGTGGCTCAGAGCCCTGTCCAATGTGTCCTGTCAGTGGGCACTATGGAGAATAGTCTCTCTCTCTCTTCTTCATTCCCCCACCCCGCTTAGGTACTTCATACAATGTTAAGTCTTCTCCAGACTAAACAGTGTCAGGTCTCCCAATCTTTCCTCATATGAGAGATGCTCCAGCCCCTTAGTCATCTTCATAGCCCTTCACTGGACTTGCTCCAGTAGCTCCATATCTCCCTTGGCAGCCCAGACCTGGACACTGTACTCCAGGTGTGGTCTCAAGTCCTGAACAGAGAGGAAGGATCACCACATGTGATCTGCTGGCAATCCTTTTCCTAAACCAGCCTAGGATACTGTTGTCCTTTGCTACAAGGGCACGTTGCTGGCTCATGTTCAAAAGACCAGGGGTCTTCTGTGCAGAGCTGCTTCTCAGCTGGTCTCTCACCAGTGTATACTGGTGCATGGGAGTATTCCTTCCCAGGTGCAGGACTTCACACTTCCCTCGTTGAACCTCATGAGGTTCCTGTCAGCCCATTTCTCCAGCCTGTTGAGGTCCCGCTGAATGGCAGCAGCACAACCCTCTGGTGTATCAGCACTCCTCCCAGTTTCGTGTTTGCAAATTTGCGGAGGAAGCACTCTCTCTCATTGCCTAGGTCATTAATGAAGATGTTAAATAGTGTTGGTTCCAGTATCAACCCCTGGCATACACCACTAGTGGCTTGCCTGTGACTGGGTTTTTTATCACTTAGGAGTTCAGCCAGTATTCTTTTCACCTCACTGCCCACTTATTTAACCCATACTTTGTCAGCATGTCTATGAGTATGTTATGGGAGACAATGTCAAAAAACTTACTAAAGTTGAGGTAAACAACATCCACTGTGCTGCCCTTCCCACCACGCTAGTCACTTCATTGTAGAATACTATCAGGTCAGTTAAACATGATTTCTTTGATTGCTCCTTTGTAAATTCATGCTGACTACTCCTGATCACCTTCTTGTCCTACGTGTTTTTGGAAATGGTTTCAAGAATTAGTTGCTCCATCACCTTCACCAAGAATCGAGGCAAGGCTAGTTGTCCTGTACTTCCATGGATCCTTTCTCTCACCCTTATTGAAGATAGGAGTGACATTTTGTTTTCTTAAGTGTATGTTCCCATTTTCTGGGCAGTGGAGAACAGTCTCTTCACCTGTCTGGGGATTAAGGTTTTGGTAGGAGGACTTCTTCTTTAATGATAGAGTGAGCTGGTATCACGTCACTCCTGAGTCCTGACAGGATGCTGAATGCAGTGGTTGGGGGAGGCCAGTAGCTGCCCTAAAGCCAACAGAGGTGGAAGTTCTCAGTGAGACACCTAGGTGTGTCCTGTCGTGCTTCCTGTAGGCATGAGGCAGTGCCACATCTAATCTTTTGCTTCTGCCCAGCAAACAGAACACTGCCCAAAGAAAAAGCATCTTAGAAATCAGTTACAGCTGCATAAATGGCTTCTGCTGACTCCAACATGAAGACAGGGGATCCCAACAAGCCTCACCCCATAATGTCTACCAGAGATTGACAAAGAGCATAAAAGGTGAAGCAAAATGCAATTTACACATCTTTCAGATGTTTGCTAATAAAAAATAGAGCTTTCAAAGTGCCAGCTACATTTGGGAAAGAGATGCAGAGGTCAGTTTCCCAAGTCATTGATAAACAATAGCTGTTAAGACTGTCCAGGACAAGTCTTTAAAATTTTGAAGCCAGTAAGTGACTAAGAGTAGATCCTAATTTAACTAAAGATAAATTTAAATTTATTTTTTTTTTAATAAAAAAGTGTCCTTTCAGTATGTGTATACTGTTGCGGAGACTACTGGAAACTTAGGAAACCCTTGAACATGGAAGTACTTGAAGAAGAGAAACATCAGGAGGATAAAGAAATAGGAACACTCACACAAGGCCATGATCTTTTAGGTCATGAAAATATATTTGGAAGATTTTGTGAAGCTAAAGAGAGGCCAGGTATGGAGTGTTAAATTTGAAAATATTAGATCTGTGAGAGTAGGAAGAGAGGAACAAAGGGTCAGTGATAGAGTTTTGGGAAAGGAGGACGGGGGGAGAGAAAAGGAGATTATAAAAGAGAAATATCAAAAGAACAAAGTGACGTGTATCCCTGTTTCTTGACTTTCAAGACTGAGGGCATGCTCAGCAGTGCCAAAAGCAGCAGGGGAACACAGAATAACAGGGACGAAACACAGTCCTTTTAGAAAAAAATCATTAGAAAACTGGTCCACAGACAGCAGACACCATGATGGCTATTTAGGATGTTACAGAAAGTAACTGTTATCAATGATACATTTGAAAAATTAAGTGATAAAAAGGAAGTTGAAGCAAGATCAAGGCTACTCACATTGCTCACAGGGGGTAATTAATGATATGTCCAAGTTGCAGTTTATAAATGTGATTTGTCTAATATAACTAGTAGGTTAATGAACATTATAAGAAGGAATATATCAGATAAGGGAGGCATATCTGTCTCAAACAACAGCTGGTCTCAACTAGAATACCCAGAATACTTTCCAGTCTTAAAGGTTCAATTACCATTTCAACAGAGTTTTCAAGCATGTAAAGGAGCAGATTTGCACCTTTTTTTCCCTCCAGAAAAAGAAAACTTTCGCTTAAAAGGAATGAAAAAGCTAAGGAGGATGAGAAAAGCAAGTAGGACTTAGGCTGGTCAAGTGTGAAATAGAGTAAACTTTAAAAAAAAAAAAAAAAGTAAAAAGAGGAAGAGCTACAGATATGGGTAGAAGAAAAGGGTCTGTGATCCTCACCAGTAAGTAAATATGTACATCTTTGAATGTCAAGAGGTGAAAAAGAGACGAGGAGACTTTAGAGTTGTAGTACAGCTACACTTATAAGCCTGTGGCATAGAAGAACAAAGAACACTGGCTTCATTCCTGACATTAGTATTTCACCAGGATTATCTGAACTATTTTGAAACTGCAGAGTTTGTCAGAGAAACAAAATTTAAAAAGACCACCACCATGTAATACATAGGATACAAAGCAATGCCATTTTATTTTATTAGAACCCATTCAAATATGTCTGGAAATACCTGGTTTGATCCAATCATTACAGATAGGATGTTACCACAATCACAGCAGATCAAAAGTTGATGCTGAAGTTATGGTTGATGTAAATTGGGCTTAGACAACAATCAAATGGTCAATGCAATTGTTATTTTTTTTCACTGTAAGCTAAACCTGGAGAGTTCCATGAGTCAGCCATTTTCTTAATTCAATTTGCATCTTTTTCTCTATGCCCAGACTACCCACAAAACAAATCTTATCCTTTTGTCCTGAAAGGAGCTTAGCTTTATGCTTCATAATGTATAGATAGCTTGTAATACATATCACCATCAGATTTTCCACTAAACAGAAAGAAAACAAAAAATTGAAAAAGTCGCTGCAGCTTTTCAGTGCAGTATTGTATTTCAAACTGTGCTGGATAAAGCCATGTCAAAGTAAAGAAATCAATGTCAGATTAAAGCTGATTCAAATAATCCAATCTTTGTTTATTTCATAACTGAATTATTACTTCCATCATGGATGAAATTCCAATTACTTTGTGTTAAATATTTCTCCCCACAAGAGAAAATAAATTAAAACCCCACATTAACACTTTAATAAGGATTCTTTTGAACAGAGAAATAACAAATATTTCTATTTTACTCCCTACAGCAATCAATATAGTCTCACTGATATCCATCTTCTACATGAAATGCATACTGTGAGATGCTGAAGATTCATTGAATACCACACTCATCTTTTTTTGAAGAAAGTTTATACACAGGGCATTTTAAAAGGCTGTCATCAGTCAGCCCATGCTTGGTAAAATCTGAGGAATGCTCATAGAAAGGGTTCTGGATAATTTTATACCAGGCAAATCCCACACAGATTTCATGAGGAAATTAAAGGGGCTTCACCTCTTTTAATAGACCCCACACTGTGCTTGCTTGTGGAATTGTGTAACTCAGGTAACTAGTCTGATGGCATTGGAAAGTCAGGTGAGGTTTTGGAGTAAAAGATACTCACTCCAGTAAATAAACAGAGCTTTCTTCAGTTCTCTTATAAATGAATGAGCCTGAACATAGTTTGCTACTATTCTGCTTCCCTCAACAAAGGACTGTTAGTCTGACAGTCACCATAAATTCATAAGTACTTTTCCCAACAGGTTCCTGTTTCATACCCACAGAGTATATCTTGCTCTATATAGGATATGTATCTAGCTTGCCACATCTACACAAGAGATTATGTCACCTCTCTCCAATCCCATACAAAGAGCAGTAAGAAGTTTGAAATGAGGTAAAGAACTTTGAATAGTACAAGAATTTGACTAGTGCTATAATCATGCAGTACTTAAGCATGCCTGATGGCAGCTGGCCATTTCAAGTGCTTAGCTTAATATAGCTTAAATATAATTAGCTTAAATATAATTCACATCAAATCCAGAAATGTCTTTTCCCCCCCTATTTTTAAAGAGTTTCAAAGAAATGCTGAGCAAAGCCAGGACTTCACCTTTAAGTATCCTCTCATGTTGAAAGAGGAAGGAAGAGAGGATGACATGCAAGTAGGAGACATGCAAAGATAAAAGATTTCAAATTTACCTCTCACAAGGTGAATTTAATAACAGAGGAATTGGATGTGGCCTAAAGTTCCATTTGTTAAAGAGGGCTTATAGGTAAATTCACTAGAAGGCAGTTACATGATGTTTGATGTCCTCTACATCTAACTATTTCACAGATTTCCCCCAGGCCCTCCTTGAAGAAAATCTTTAATGCCTGACATAAGCAAAGTTTGGGAAAAATGTGACATTATAAGTAAAAACAATATTAAGAGAGGTATTAATCAGAAATGTTCCCAAACAGAACCTTATTAAATTGAAAGGACCAAATACACTGTTTTCAGGATGGTATTAGGAAATTACTTGATAGCAATTGTTGACAACATGTAAAGAACAGGTGTTGGGTTATCTTCAAGGTTCAAATAATAATGTGATGTTCCAGTGTAGAATTTATAGTTCATGACACTTGTTAACACCTTGCCCTATGGCTTGAAGTCCAGCAAGGACTTCCCACACGTGCAACACCACCTAAGCTATCACAGGAAAGTTACTGTGTGCTGGAAGTTATGTCCCATCTACACAATTCTGTCTTCAGGTAAAAAACAGCCAAACAAAATCTTGTAGTAACATATGATATTGGATGCTTTTGTACAGATTGGCTCTAAAAATGTAATAATCAGTCATTTTTATAGAACAGTTTCTTGAAACACTATCCATGTGAAATACTTTAATAAAAGATACTTTTCTAGAGCAAGTGTTCAAAATTTCATGCAAAAGAGCGAGCATCATGTTTAAAAGAAACAAGACAAAGTAGTTTTTCACAAAACGTGTAAAACTGTGGATGCTATGGAAGTATCATTTTTAGGTGGGTTCAGAAATAATTTACAAATGCATAGATTGAAAGTTCATCAAGAGATACTAAACACAGAGTGCAGTTGCAACTCTGGCACAGAAAATCCTTAAGCTATGTGCAGCCAGAAGTTAGGAGGGGTAAATCAGATCTACTACTTCATAGTTACCTAATTCTTACACACTTTTTACAAAGATTTGCTATTTACCACCATTAGAGATAGAAAAATGGATTACATGGATCTCACCCATCTACAGACTCAAATAATACATACAGAATTCTCTGGTTAAAAAACTCTCTACTAAAATGCTGCCATACCTCTAATGCCTCAAATTCAAAGTAAAGGCCATATTTATCCCTGTGAAAAGGGGAAGAAGGAGAGGAAGCAGAGGAAAGGGAGAAAAGAAAGGAAAGAGAAGAAAGAGAGGAAGCATTTCTGATGGTTTGGCTAAAGATAGACTTATCCTCAGAGCACAAATTGCATACTCTAGTCATAACAGTTTTTTCATATTGTCAAGAAGCCTGAGGCCAATGCACATCAGTGAAGTAGTTCAGGAGAAGACCTGGACATACTCAGGCTTCATGATCCTGGTGCCTGGTCAGGAACCTAGTGTATCAACCTTTGTTTGAGGATAAGCAGTTCTGGTAGACAACTCAGTGCTCTTTCACAAAACAAGCAGGAAAAATGTTTTTATTTAGTTAGGTCATGCTTTAACATGTATTCATGTGCATCTACATAATAGGCTCAAGGACCTTGGTTCAGAGAGAACAGGGGCCAACTTCCTCAACTCATGTAAACCAGTAGAGCACAATTAATGTTTAATAAGAATTTTGATTTGCAAGCTCATCTGATGTACCAAGCAGATAGGGGTAGGACAGAAAAGTAGTTCACCTATAAATAAAAATGTAACCTACCTAGGCTTTATTTAATTCATTCTAATTAACCTTTCTTATCAGACCTTCAATGGCATGCCTTTATAAAGACAGATAGCTCTCAGAGTTGAAAAGAGTGGAATAAAAAAAATTATACATATTTGGAATAAAAAGTAGTCCTGCTTGCTGAAATTACTGGACTAATTTTGTAGCCAGCACAGTATGAGCAAATCTTGCTCTTAAGAATCTGCTAGAATTAACAGCATGGATTCTCCCATGTGTTAAGCTGTTTTGCATGGTATATTTAAAAGTCTGAAATTAGACAGAGATAGTCAGCAGAAAATCCAGTACAGGGGATCTCTTTAGAAAAAAACTTGTAGAGATAATGCTATCATTTGCAAAATACCCACATGTTTACCCACATGAAAAAGCAGGGAAAGGCAGGGCTCAGCAAAGGTCTTCCATACTTAGTCTTTCAGTGACATGGTGGCCTGAAAGAACTAGTCCTCACTCTAATGAAATAGGTTAGGGATGCCTCTAGGGACCATTTTCATATTTACAACTTACACTTACACTGAATATTGATTTTCTTTTGCTTCACATTCCATGTTTTGGCACTAGGAGCATAGGATTTTTCTTACTTAAACTAAAATTAAAACAGCATAGGGCATAGCATAACACAGCTAGAAAGAGCTAAATTTTTACAGTATTACAAACTCCTTCAGCTCTCAAGGCACATACCAGAATGGATATCACTACCGAAATTTCACAAGAGAAATTCCAAAAACAGATTTTATCCTCCTATCTTCAAATGTCTTCCCTGGAAACTTGCATTTAATCAACAAATGGACACATACAAGTTTCTAAATTGTTTACTATCAAACTAAACATGAAGCCTCTTTCTTTCTCAACTTGTTAAAATTAAACATCACTTCTTGAATAAGATAACAGCAACAAGTAAGTTCCTCTAAGCCAGTTCTTCAGTTTAGTTTTTGTCTAGATCAACCAAAACAATAAATTTTATCTAATTTTATAGCTTCAAAGGCATATCTATTTTCAAACTAACTTTTTTTTTAGGAAATGAATAGCAGCCAGGATAAATAACAAGATTAGGGTGCCCCATTATGCCATGGAGCTCACGAGCAACAGACTCATGAACAACACATAACCAACAGCTAAATACTGTTACCTTTTAAGATTCTAATTAGTTGTCTATATTTGATAAAGTTTTAGAAATCCTTACCTCACACCATTCTGTCCTTGCATCAAGGTTGTTGCTAATTTTCCTGAAAAAGGCCTTAACATTATGATCCTTGACTTCTGGACCAAAAAGTGTCTGTGTGATTGTATAGAATTTATCATAGTCTATCTCACCTGTATAGGAGGAACAATATCCACAGAGTTAAAAACTGTCAAGCTACAGCTTCTTTCCTTATCCCCCCCCCACCTCCTGTCTTACTTCTCCTTCAATATCAATAGCATGCAAGTTCTATCTCCTCACACTCTATTCATAAAAGCATTTTGCAAAAACAGAAGTTCAGTCTTAATGTTCAGCCTTTTCAAAACTACCTGGTTGGCAATGCATGACAGGAAACAGAGAAAAGAATAGGTGCAAAATTCTCACCTCTTCTTTCTTCCCTTACTTTCATACTATGATTCTGGTTTGTTGATCTGAACCTGAATGGTGTCTGGGATAAAGTTTATCTTTTCATGCAACAATAGCCACTACTCTACTTTTTTTTGAGAAAAGCAAAACTTTGCCCTCATTATTTACAATTAAGCAACTGGATTTACATCATTCACAGAATCACAGAAGCATTAAGGTTGGAAAAGACCTTTAAGGTCAAACAAGTCCAACCATCAACACAATACCACCATGCCCACTAAAGTGTGTCCTGAAGTGCCACCATTCATTTGGTTTGTGCTTTTACAAATCATTAGAAATGTCGCATTGTGCTATCTTGTATGTGTGGCAACTCCACCAATTATATTTTGTGAGCAATCACCATAGCATTATAATTTGACCAGAAGTCCTAACAGGAGGAGAAAAGCACTCCGTAGTGCAACCTGCCTATCTCTTGAAAAAATCAAGAAGTCACAATTTGAACATTAATTTGAGGTCTTTCTTACAGTCTTGTCTCTATGACACCTTCTCTCCATATGAAAATTACACTTTTGCATCAGAAAGAGTATCTCTTACCATCATCTTTAATAGACAAGTCTAATCTCTCCTTTGTCTTCTGGGCTACCAATTTTTCAACTAGTTTCTGGAACTCCTTCAAGGCATTCTTGAAATCCAGCAATTCAACAGCAGAGCAACTCTCCTTATCACAATCCTCCTTTTCAGACATCCTTTATTAACAGAGGACAAGGTAAGAGGGAGAGCTCTTCTTACAGCCTGGTTGAAGTCTCGTTTTGCTCCTTAAATCTTAAACTCCTGCATGAGTTCATATGAGATGCAGCTGCATGACAGTTATACCAAGCAGTACATAATAAAAAAGAGGTGACTGGCTTAGCATCTCAAGCTGGCTAGTAGTGAACTGTTGATGTCACAACCCTCAGTTACATCACAGAATCCTACTTGCTGAGTGGCCCTAGGTCACGAACCAGGTTCACTAATAACCTGGCATGTGAGATTATTTCATGGTATCTTGTGCAATTGGTGGTTGAAGAGGCATGAACTTTCTTACTTCCAGAGACAGACAAGGATTTCATCAGGGTTCAATTCTGCTATGCTGGCACCGCTTTAGCAATATGTGATCACATTCTCCCATATGAATACACCTTTGAGACTAGCTATTGGTAGCTTATATCTTTCAGACTTTTGTACTGAGTGAGGAGGAAGGAAGATTATACCAGTTATCTCTAAGTTTCATATTGTCTTTTTATGCTTTGGATTATTTTCAAGTTTTCTGACAAAGGCTGCACACCAACTAACACAGTTATAAAAAGCTGCAACTGTGAATTTGCCTGGATCCACACATCATTTGGTGAAGAACAACAGAGCCAATTTTCTGTTTATATTTGCTCTGTGACAGGAGAACTGAGACCAGCCTGATGATATCCTAGCTTGTGCTACTGCTGCAAGGCTCGGCCAGGGATTGCGATCTAGGTGGGGATGCTTGGTTTTACAGTAGCAATAAGAACATTTTACCAGGGATGTTAAGCTATGAATCATTACTCACGTAGTACAAAGAGGCCAAAAACATTCAATTCAATCCAAAAAGAAGTAGAAAAGCACTTTTTGACAGTTCTTGGAATTAACATTGAATGTCTGCTTCCTTAGTAAAACTATGTCAATTTCTTGAATATATGCCTTGTTGTCCTCTTTATTGTATTCAAGATCCCTACTCAGTGAACTAGAACTTCCAACCTAGAAACCCAATTACACTGCAGAAACATTTGTTTAATTGCATAAATTGTTATGATTGAGGTTGCAAGAAATTCAGTGTCAGAGTGGCAGAGTTTTAGTTATTTTCAGCTGTCCAGTTGCCTCTCCCTTAAGCTCTTACAGCCATTCAAACTCCCTTTACTTGTCTTACTTTAGCTTCCAGTCAAGTTACTGTTTCTTTCTTTCTCCTAACATACAACTAATGAGACCAGAGATTAAGTGTTGGCTCTTAACATGTGCTTGCCCAAAGCTCAGCTATATGTCTTACATGGTTGCTGTTTTGAAAAGGGTCTGCATTTAACTCACACCTAATTTCACTCAGGATTTTAAAGTCAGAACACTCCTATACCAAGGTACCCCAAGAACCTTTCTGGTTTTTGTTCTCAGGGCATACTTAAACACAAGCAGGATGGGGCTATTCAGAAAGCAAAATTGCAGCTACCACTTTCTTTTGAAAGTGGCAGCCCTGAGCACTCACTAACTAATCAAACTCATTTGATATGCTACCAATTATGGTACCATACTTGGTATACCAAATTATGTCTTGAGATCAGACATAATTTTTGCCCTGCAAGAGTACCAGTCTCTGTGTTATACCTGTGTTATACATCTTTGTATCCCACTACATCTTAAATTCTTTATTGAATAGTGGAACCCTAGAGTATCCTAGTGGGGTGCTGGAAAAGTGAATTTATTTTTCCTTTAGCTGTAAGAGAATTAAATCCAAAACTATCCCCTGAATGAGTAACCTAGTAGCTACTGAAGAAGGGGCAAGTCCTGGTTCTTCTGGGACTATTCTAAAGAATCAAGCTTCATTCATTCTTTGGAAAGGAATGATGTAGAAAGCTGTATTCAAAGAATGGTTCAATGCAGTCAGTTTTGAGAAAGAAGCATTTCTCTGAAAAAACAGGTGCTTGAAAAAGGAGTTTTACAATTTGCATCTGCAATCATTAGTAGTCCTCTATTGAGTAAACAGTCACAGTTTAAAAAAAAGAAAAGGCTGTAACTATTGGTAATTAATATGTTAATTACTTTGGATCATGTTATGATCACAGATTCTCTGCATATGGAAGCTAGTTATCTTGCTCAGGATTCTGGATTCTACGCTACACTTCAGATGATCAACTTTCAGTTCCTACAACCCTTTATTGAATCTGCTCCCTTATGCCTTATTGCATTTTGCAAAATGTAAAGGTTTACTATTTTTTGACACTGCCATGTGAGGCAGTGTGTCCTACTGTGAAGTCAGAACTGTGTCCTTGTCTTGGCTCTGCCATTTCTTCTTTCTCAGTAACCTTATCAGGTTGCTAAAATCTGTATCTGTAAAACAGGAACAACATCCCAACCCTGAATTAGTTCCTTTAAAGTATTACTAGTCCTTATAAGTTAATGTCCACATTTTATTTGTGCAATATCTGTGGTTCTTTTTGTATCACTACACTATGTTGACATTAAATTCTGGCACCTTTCCATTTATCACACTACTGCCATGTTCACTGCACATTTACATGCATATTATTGGCATAATAAAGATAACTGAACTGTAATTCAAGGTGAACTATACTGCTCATAGCATTAGCTATGCTAAAGCAAACATGCATTTACATTTGTTCACTCATCTTCCAGTTAGTGAAGTCATTAATTCACATTCATTAACAAAATCACATATTTCTGTCATCAACAAAATTCTAAAGTATTTCAGAGAGGCACATCAGTGATAATGAGTAGAGGCTGGTATCTTCTGCTATTCAAAAAAAAAAAAAAGGAGCTCATGAAGAAATCATGAGAAAAGTTGTTGTCCCTCTTTCTATTCCCCTCACCAAGGTAATTTACAATAATCCTAGATTATTTTCAATTTTATACCAGTGCAGGTGGTAGTGCTTTATTAAGCAGATGATTAAGTTTTGGATGAGAAAATCCAACTAGAACAGACAGGCCAAAATAACCCCTTTGACCATGGTTAGTGTCCTTGCTCCCAAATTTAACAGAGATACCATGAATTCATGAAGTTTAAATCCAGAAGAGACCTTGACAACTTCTAATTTCACTTCCTTTATGTTACAGATCATTAAATATCAGCCATTTATCACTATAATGAGCCAAACAACTTTGTTCTAAAGCATAACTTGTGGAAAGGTATCAAGTTTTAATCTGTAGACACTAAGAGATGGAGAATCCATCATGTTTGTTACAAAGGTTAATTGCTCACATTGCCTCCTATTTGAATTTGTGTGGCATCAGCTTCCATTCAGCAGCTGTTGGAATGTTTTCACTGATTTAGAGTAATAGTATATTATCCTACTATGAGCCTTTGTACCTGAATTACTTCTCCATTTTTTTCTCTTGCTAATTAAAGCAGATTGAACTCTCTGCCTCCTACTGCAACACTTTCCTTCAGGCATCAAAATAATGTTTGTGATTCTTTTCCACATTTTTCAGCTTTTCAATATCTTTAAAGAATGCTGGTGCCATACCATAATGAGCAAATTGGTACTCTGGTCAAATAATGAATTCCAGTCTATTTGCTAAATTCACTTTTCACGAGACCAAACTCATCAACTTCTTTGTATTGTTTTTAGCTATTGATCTCCAGATCAGTTTTTCTATTACTTCACTCAAGGCTGATGACAGGCTTATTGGTCACAGCTTTCTTGAATTGCTGTGCATGGAGTCTTTGCTCCATGGAGATTCTGTAGTCAAAAGGAAAGGAGAAATTATATTTTCTATTTCTTTGTGGCTATCTAGAGGATTGATATCAATCAGGCATGTTCCAAGAATATCAAAATCAATTCTTCAAGAAACTGAATAAAGACCATAGTCTTCACACACACTTGGGAAAATCAGCTGAACAACATTTATGAAACATACAGGGAAGACAACAATTTGGTATTAAACAAAGTTACTAAAAATAATGTATGTAAGTGTCTCTGCGTGAAATAGCTAGCTCTTCAGGGAAAGCTGATATGCTACCTAACACAAGCAATCCAACTGGTGGAAGTTCTATCATTTCCACTGGGAAGAGCACAAAAGTTTCTGGGTACTCCTGCTCAACAGCAATGAGTATGTCTTTTGATTAGAAGAAGGAAAAGAGTTTGTCAGAGAAAAGCAGCACTGATTCCTGGAAAAGGGAGGGATAACTTCAGGATGCATTTTCACTAGTTCCGACAGTATTCTCCAGGAAAGTATCTCCCTTGTGTGTCAAGGTACTCAGTGTTTGGTCAGATACTGTATCGTGGTCAGAGTTATGGTGTATTTGATATATTGCTTCCAGCTGAATCCTTGTTAATCCTTGTTATGCAGTGTTTCTTGTTGATTAATTTTTCTAGTCTGTGTCAGCTTGTATGACATCAGGCTGTATTCTCATTGCTGAGTTAATAACAGTGGTTTGAGGTTTATAAAAGGTATTAATATCCATTCTTGGAACAGAGAGGTTAAGAACAGAAAGCTACATTTTGTTCTCTTTCAACCACCCATGAAGAAACTTCACATTACACAGCATAATGAAAATACACAGAAACCCTAGATAAGGAACCATTGCTTTCAGTACCAGCTGATTCTGTTGTCTTCGATGTTTAAACTCAAAAAATGTACAGTATAATTTTAAAATAAGATGTGGTGACTGAGTGGACTGACATACAAAAGTGGAGAAGATAGGAGTTGCATTAGAAGATAAGCAAAGTCTGAAAGAGAAATTCAATATTAAATTGATGAGTAGCAGGAAGTCCTTGCATTAGTAAGTCTACAGTAGCATTAACTGAATGAAAAGCATTTTCTTTCCTGTGTCCCTTACTGATACTGTGGAAATGGATACACTGGATAAGGAGTATGGTAGAGTTAATGTTTATTCAGAAGTCAAACCTCCCAACTCTCCTCTTCGTACTACGTTAATCTTATTAGTCTCAATTATTGGAAATTCTCAGAACAGTACAAAGTTAATGATATGTATGTCTGTATGGGTGC